ATAATTTAAAATTTGAAAACAATCATTAACAAGATGCATTTTCACCCCATTTAATATTTGAATTGAGGAAGAAAAAACACACCTAGCTATTGCAATGTACTTACTGGCAGTGAGTTCCACCTCTTGAATGGAGGTTTCCTAGAAAAACAATTAAAATATTTTTGGACAAACCTTCCATAGCTAATTCAGCTATGGGGGGGTTTATTTGATATCTTGCATAGTGGTCTTAAGTCTAAGGAAAAACTTGCTGGTATAGAGAGGATGCCAAATTGCCCTTCGTGCGACTAAAATCTTTGTCTCACTCAAGCGTAAGTCAAGTGAAATAAAAAACTACACCCTCTAAACTCAAGATTAAGTGACTTAAATTTTATTTTTGTAAATTACTGTAGTATAGCTTAGAAATATAACACAATGCAATTGGTACAGGACATTTTTCAATTATTCAAATACTGTTATTTGTCTTGTGGGTTTGTTTGTGTATTTCATATTGACATTTAAAACAATATCCTCTATTTGGAGCCAAAATATACAGATATTTGTCTGTGGATATTACTTGTTCCCAGATGCAAAGCTCCATGAAAACTGTGAGTTGTGAAGAAAACCTTATTTCTCCTACGATAAGTCTTAAAATTCAATTCAAGATAAGAAAGAATTTTGTGGTTGTTACAGAAGAAGGGACAACTGTTTCTTCATGAAGTAATACCAGAGAACACTGAAAGTAAACATTCCACACAGCAAATGGTAAGCTGTTTGGAAACATTTTTACTGCATGTTGCAAAATACTTGAAGTATAATAAACACATTAGCCTCCATTTGGTGCAAAAATATTGCTCATCCTCGGTGTAAAAACCTGTGAAGCTCACGAGTGGCATAAAACAAAGACAACAAAACATTAAAAACAATAGCGTACAGCAAAACAATACCTCATGAAACAAAGAAAACCTGGTCAGGTTTTACACCGAGGATGACCCAAAAATATGCTCATATATTTCTCCTTGGACATTATCTGTTCTTCGTAGATCACAGTTTCCCTTGAGCTTTGCTCTCACAAAACTGTTAACTTCTCAGAACAGATAATGCCTGCAGACAAATACAAGTGTAAATTCTCAAGCCAGAGAGAGGCTATTGTCTATTTAGTTAAATGCAGTAAAATTTAGCCAGCCCACTTAATCATGAAAGTTACTTGCAAGCTGTTCAACATTTACATGAAGAACACTGCCAGGTAATTTTAGATTTTAAAGGACAATAACACCGACAAAAAATGAACAGACACAATCATGAATCAAATTTCCAGTCCCTTTGCTTCTGCTCAACCACAAAATTTGCCCTTGAGGAACATTTAACATAAACTGATTGATCGTGGCCCAAATGTATTCAGCTTTTCTAATTCATCAAATTTCCCTAACAATAAGGGCACACGTGTATCGAGGAACAGCTGCGCCGAAATTCATGACTTTAAATCATCTGACATTCCAGAATAACGCGTGCAAACTAAAACAGTGTTTAAAACTTATTAACTGAAGGTTACTTCAACAAAAACAGGTGTTTAAAATCTTCGAAAGAAATAAGCTCTCTAATTATTCGCTGGGCTTTCGATAAAAAAAAAACAAAAACAAAACAAACCTTAACTTCTTCTTTTCGGCGTTTGCCCTAGGAACAGAAAGCAAGAGATAATTGAAAAACTGCACTACCAACCTCAGAATTTCACAGGGGAAAGAGGAACATGGATATGTAAAGCGAACGTGCTAAATCACACGAAAGGCAATGAAGTGCTTCGTGAGACTTCGATGGCGGAAGAAATAAAGGCACTTGAGGTTTTTACCGGTCAAAAACTCACTAGTATATTCTGTCATGCAAAGTACATGCACACCACGTTTTAGTTTAGGAGGTTTTGAATATAATCAGAAATATTACAACTAAGGTTGAAAAATACCATGATACGCCACTGTTATAGGGATTATTTACTTGCTTTGCGAATTGTTTGACCTATTAAAATTTTAATTCAATTCTACAGGAATCTAGACGTTCCCGCATTTTATTCTCTTCTGTAAACTCTCATCATCATTATCATTGAGATATTAGTCCATGTCTACGCGATGGAACCAATAAAATGAAAGAATAAACGACATTTTCACATGAAGCTTTGTTCACAGGCTTAGTTGTTGCATGAAATGATGCAAAAATTACACCAGAAGTTATGCTTACTTTAGCATTTCCGTCGAAGGTGAGTCAAGTAAAAATCCTGACGGAGAATCGGGACAGTAACCTCGTGGAAAGAGTACAGTGATGACGGTCATGATTATTCTTAATTTCACAAGTAATCAGACTGGATAAGCTTAATTGTTTAGCAAAATTAAATTCTTTGTAGTACCTGACTCGTTGGAGGCTGTCGAAAGCGACCTCTGAAAACCCGTGGTTGGCGTTGAAGGATCATTTAAGGACAAAGATAGCTTTCTTTTGGGAGTCCTTCCCAAGCTGAAACAAAATAGGGGAAATATTTTGATCAATATATCATAAAATACAACATTTTAAACCAAACTAAGGCCGTTCGAAATGTACATCAAATACCGCCATAAAGCTTACTTGAAAGCTAACATCACGCTCAAATATTCACCTAAACTACGAGTTTACCTGTTCTCAAAATTCATTGTTAACTCTGTTACGGGAGAGAGTACAGCATTAGGAGCTACTTCCAGCGAGTTTTTTCTTCGTGAGATTTCTAATTCGAGGTAGCTTCCAGCTCTTGGTTTCATCCCGGCCATGTTGGAAATTTGCGATGGCGTCCTGTAGCTATACCTGTACCTAGAGTGCCCAAAACGAAACTTTTCGTGGGAGAAAACGACCACGTGCGGCTGATGAATTGTCCAGAAAGAGTGTAAAAAGATTATAAGGTGATTCTAAACTACTGATACATAAGCTTGGCGAGAAAGTAAGGGAGACGGTGAAGTACAGAGGCACGACTTTTCAAACTTTCCCCCGCATTTGCATGCTGAAAACATTGTGTTGGTTGCCAACCAATCATATTGCAGGAATTTGCATCATTTAGTGGTTTCCTGGGAATCTCATTTTCGTTTTCCCGCTCCGTTACACTTCCGGCTAGCCTCGAGTTGGAACACAAAAAAACGAACGTGAAACGGAAGTTGCATATTAAAGATTTAAGTTTTAATTTTTCATGCTACTGTCATGTTTTGAAGTTAAATAGATGATTAGGAACAGTTTCTAGTTGCGTCAAACGACACTTGTCCTTGCGCTTTTTCAGTGTCGCGTAATCGAAAGCGATTGGGTTGTCACGAGACAAAAAAAAAAAGGAAAACTGTGCGTGTGCTGACCATAACAAGATCATGACCAAACCACGCATTAAGTTCATGCAAATATCGGAGACCTGTAGGGAGAGTTTAAGTTTAAGTTTAGCAAATAGAGAGTCTCCGTGAATTTTGAAATTTAACTTCTAATCGGCTTTCTGAAGTTAGGGTTCCCCCCCCTCCAAAAAAAAAAAAAAAAAGAAGAAGAAGAAAGAAAACAATAGGGAAACTGTTATCTCCCGATAACTGTAGTTGAATGGCTCTCCATCCGCAGAGGCTCTACAACGGCTTTACTGACTGCATTTCAAACGCAACTTATCAACTTTCTGGAGAGCAGCAGTAGAAGCCCGACGAGTCGATCTCACAAGGGAAACAAAAATGCTTGAAGTCAGCGACGGTTGGAGTCAGCTGAGAGTATTAAAGTGACTGAAAAAATGATTCAAGGGAAAACAGATCTTGTTTCAGTTTCCGGGGGATTCCGAGCTTCCTTATTTTCAGTTAGATGACCATTCGGAGGTTTTATATGACTCTGGACGCTATAAACTGCTGATATACCGACGGCTCATCTTGAACACAAAGTTTCTCGTTGCCCAGCTCACAGATTAGGGTGCAGTAAAAAGGCGGGCTTTAGAATGGAAGGTCAGACTGGTTCCACTTTCGTTTATAGTTTGCTTAAAAGAAAGGAAAAAATAAGCGGCAGTTTTACTTTTTTTTCGCGAAAATTTAGAGTTTAGTACGGTAGTTCTTTGTTTTGTCCTGAAGGTAATTGTCTTTGTTTTTGAAAGAACGTTAGACCACGTGCCGTCCATGCATAAGAGCTCACAAATACCTGGAAGAAAGACGTACATTTGTTCTTGCTTACTTTAAAATTAGTATTATTTTATACTTTTCCTTTAACCTCTAAATCATATTTGCTTGTTCTGGTTTTTTTGTTTTTGTTTTTATTAATTTAACAGGTGAAACTGTGCCCCAACTCGTGCAGAGTTCTGAAGCCTGTGCGGCTAGTTATTGGTACGCAGTGACGCAAAACTTTGGGTCGTCCTCAGAAGTTTTCACTGAACACCCCATACATAAAGATGAAGTCCATCATAACTGTCCTATATGCAAAAAATCGTTTAAATGAAAATCTGAACTGATGCGACATCACAGAGCCCACACAGGTATTCGACCTTTTATGTGTCATCTGTGTTTTAAGAGCTTTAACTACAACAGTGCTCTCTTGGAACATTTACGTGTACATTCTGGAGAGAAACCATACAAATGCAGTGAGTGCAACAAATGTTTTAGACAAGGGTCGACTCTTAACAGACACAAAAAGATACACACAGGAGAAAAGCCGCATCAATGTGAAGTCTGTGGCAAGTGTTTTTCTGAAAAGAAAGGCCGTGATGTTCACAAAAGGACACACATTTGTAAACAGCCATTTTATTGTTCCAAGTGCCATCAGTATTTCATGCGCAGGGCATCTCTGCTTAGACATATCAAGAAAAATCATCCAATTATTGAGTCCAGCACAGGTTGTTTAGATGACAAGACTGGAAAATACCAGAGTCATGAAAGCAAAGCACCACAAGCTACAGAGGTAACAGTGAAAGTAGAGAAACCAGATAGTGAGGAAATGAGTCTTGAGATGCTCATTAAAGAAAGTGACCTTTTGACTGATTTGAACTATCTCAAAGAGGAGGTTGTAGACTGATATGAACAGAACTTGGTACCTTTTTCTCTTATTACAGCGAGACATGGAAAAATACTAACACATTGATTTGATTCTGACAGGTCAATAATGTGTGCCGACCAACAAGTGTAAAAGAGTTTCCAAAGCTAACTTTTCAAGCATTAGCCCTTTGTCATTCACTCTGATGAAGGGGTAAGGCTTGGTGTATGAGCCTTAGAGATTCTATGGTGGCCAACTGACATAATCAACCCAATTGATCAAACCAAATTATCTTATAATACCCTCTAGTGTTGCAGCAACTTGGTTTCTTTAGAAACTTACCAGTTACTTACCCTTATCTTTAACGACTATAAAGTTCAGAGCATGCAAGAAAACCTCAAACTGATTACTGTTGCTGTTTGTAGCTAAATTTTCACAAGTCTGAATGGCTTTTTTCTTTTGGAAATAGTTCTGCTCACTTTTTTTTTTTTTGAGTTTCACAATGAAATTAATCACCAGTAAAGGCTTGTTTCATCCCTTCAGCACCCAAGAGTACGCCATTACTTTACTTCAATTTTTCATACAGTTATATCTCTGCCAAAAAAGCAGGTGAACGAAATTTAAAAAATTTTCAGCCAGGGAATATTGATGATATTTACCATCACTTTCTTCGGAACAGCAAACAAAGAAATGTGTTGAGATTTGACCGGAGAGTTTGCTTTCAGATCTTGGTTGTTGAAGGAAAATATTTTGTACATTTTCCCATTTTTCTAGTTTAACCCTTTCACCTTCAAGATCTCCTTTATTTATTTATTCTCATCATTTATCTGCTTTTTATTATATTGATATTGTGAAGAGGAATTCTATCTTTGTCATTTGGTCAGGCAGGATAGTGTTTCCCAACAGAAGAAAGGGCTTTATAATGGTAATACAGCCCAACAGAGTCTAATTTTGTCTGTAATAACATGAGAGATAAAAAGAAAAAAACAGAACAACTGCAAAACAGGACTGCAAAAAGTTAATCTTAAGGATAATTGCAGATAGAATTGTAGGACTCAATGCTACCATCAATTGATGAAACTCTGAAAGAATTTATGAAACAAAATACCCTTTAGTAAGAGAAATTCTTAAATGCACACAAAGAAGTTAAGTTTTTTTCAGCGAGACCTCGAAGCTTACAGTCCAAATCCAAAATTTGAAGATTCTCCAGCAATTGTCTTTGAGTATCATGAAAATGTTAAATAATCATACTCACACAGATATTATGATCATATTATCAACATAATTATATTTAAGATTGTATTTATTAAGTATTTAATATCTGTCTTTATCTTGTCATCTTCCTGTTCATTTTCCTATTTCTAGATTAAACTTAGCTAGCCTCTTACTAACTAGGGAATTCTTTTCCTGTTTTGAAGTTCTCCTCGGATGACACATACATTGTCTTATTATCACTTAAATAGTGCTTCTGACAGCCAATCACATGCACAAATTTTGTAATGCTTTTGATTAATCAGTGTCAATGAAATGATTTTTACAGTTTCCATTATAGAGAAGGAAATTTTTAACATTGAGTTAGGTTTTATAGGACCATCTTTAGCCTGAAAGAAAGGTTGAAGGCCTTAGAGCCAGGGGGGCTACTCGATATATTCCTGGGTGGGGAGGTGCGGCGCGGCCCCTCATACCCTGACCCTGTTTAAGACAAATATCACTGATTTTCCCACCCTGTTTAAGATAGAATTCCGATTTTTGATACCTTGTTTAAGACATTTAATGTGCCTGGTATCAATGCCAAAATCAACCGAGTTCAATATTAATTAAAATTAGAGCTTGTAAAAATTTTGCTGTT